AACCCCTAATCAATGACAATGTCTCCCATGTGTAGGTGTGGCGACCAAGGGAAACACCATGAACTTCTCTTAACTTGATTCCCCGGTCTAACAAATTAGTGATATCTTTCCCATATCTATGTCGCCTTATTCCCCAATTCTCTAGCTATCTCTCCCTTCTCAGCCATCTCATTAAGCACCTTCTCGGCCGTCTTCATCGCATCTACGCCGGCGGGGACCCCACAGTACGTCGTGCAATGTAAGATAGCCTCTCTGATCTCTAGTTCCGAAAGACCGTTATTCCTGGCCCCACGAATGTGCACAGCCAGCTCAGGGGCGCGATTGAGAGCCATGAGCATGCCGATATTCAACAAGCTGCGCTGCTTCTTTTCGAGGCCGGGCCGAGTCCAGGCGTAGCCCCAGCACCATTCGGTGACAAGCTCTTGGCCCGGCTTGGAGAACTCGGTAGATCCATTGGCTAAGGCACGGTCGACGTAAGAGTCGCCAACGACGCTGCGCCGCATTTTGAGGCCTTCGTCGAAGAGCTGCTTGTGCAGCGCGTCGAATTTGGGGTTGGTGCTCATAGTGTCCCTTTTAACAAGAAAATGTGGGAAAGCTAGAAATGAAATTCTGGAATAAGTGATAGTGGAATAAGATAAGTGAACTGACAGTTTTCTAAGTGTTGGTATCCTCCTTTCGAAACCGAGATGACAGACAATTATGAGACGGGCGCGTTCAATTGTGAACTCAAAGACTTCGAGAAACACATCCAGGTGGGGAGATTTCGATGATGTCGTATAATACCTAGGCTGGACTGGATTATACTCCACACAATGACAGGCCAATAATTAACCCAGGCTAACCCTTCCTCAAGCTCCCCCAAGGATGGAGGGGTGGATGTAGTTGTGTCGTCACATTAGCCTATAGGGCTTTAGCAATAGCAGGAGCTTAAAAGAAAGTTAAGGGAGGAGATATTGGGTTATATGATATAGCATCCATCTCCAAGTCCTATGACTTCCCTGCATTGATCGCATCAGGGAAGTCCATTGGGTGAGGTCGTATGGTAGATTACGACCCTATCCGAGATGGTATGACCTTACGCTAACATGATAACCCCGATTTCCCCAAGTGACAATCCACGGTTTACGTCGACAAGACATATACCTGCATGGGCATATGCCGTGAGAAAATAGACTGACGGATTTCATGTGTGATATGAGCAGTGTTACTACCAAGCCTAGCAAATACGAAGTACCTAGATGGAGGACTTCAGGAGAGGGGGGAGGTGCGGATAGTTTAAGGACTCGATTGTCCTCACGATATCTTTCTTCTGTGTCCTCTGATCTTTTTTTTAATTTAATTCGTGATCCATACACGTCTTCTACTAGTTCTCCCTCAATATTCTGCTGCTGAATTGTATTTCTAGCATCTCCTAAAATAATGTCTCGTAAAGGTTCGGGCAAGAAGATTGACGTTGATTTTTGTGAGTTTGTACACGATGAACGCGGACTCCCAGAAAGCGATAAACAACGAACAAGGGAAAGGCTGCTAGTTCGTAAACTAGACTGCTTCATTGCTCCTGTAATGATGCTTCTCATGCTTATAAGCTATTTGGATCGGGGGAATATTGGCTTCGCAGCGACACAAGGTATGACAGACGAGATTCACCTTAAGGGGTCCGAGCTGAATGTACGTCAATTATTTCTATTTTCCCCTTCGATATCCCGATATTAGATCCTGTCGTCCAACTTACTGAGGTCATGAAAGACAGCTGTATCCGTCTTCTACGTCTTCTACATCCTCGCTGAGTTCCCTACCTCGATTTTGGTCAAACGTCTCCAGTTTAGCCGGGTCATTCCCACCATTACGTTTTGCTGGGGTATCGTATGCCTCTGCACCGGCTTCGTCCGGTCATTCGGCCCACTCGTAGTAACTCGCGTGTTGCTGGGATTTTTCGAGGGTTGCTTATTCCCTTCATTGACGCTATTCCTCTGTAACTGGTATAAGCGTGAAGAATTGGCAGTACGGGTCGCGTTTCTATTTAGTAAGTTAAGCTAAAGCTTGTAATACGCATGTCCCATGTATATCTAACAAAGCTCCACAGTCGCGTCGGCACTCTCTGGAGCATTCGGGGGACTCCTAGCGTGGGCCATGTTAAGTATGGATGGAGTCGCAAACATGTCTGGGTGGCGATGGTGTGTTTCCAAACATTCAACTGCGGGAGAAACATATTTCTTACATACAAACTGGTCAATTCTAGGCTTTATATCATTGAAGGCCTCATCACTATCGTGTGGGCTGCGTGCTGTATTTTCCTTGTCCCAAGAGACTACGAAACGGCATACTTCTTAGATGCGGAAGAAAAGGCACTCATGAGGAAACGGGCTGAAGAGATGGAGGCGTACAGTGGTGGCTCTGGACACTACTCGAAGAAGGATATTAAAGATGCTGCGAAGGATGTGAAGAGCTGGTTACATGGCGTTATCCAGATCGCCGTTGTGACAATACTATATGGTAAGTATTCTGTACTAAATTCTTCGGTAACAATAAAACTGACCTTGATTGAAAAGGCTTCAGCACGTTCCTGCCAATTATAATCAAAGAAGGCTTTCATTATTCGACAATTCAAGCACAATATTTGGTCATTCCGGTCAATCTCTGGGGTGCCCTCATATACGCTATCGGCGCGGTGATGTCAGACAAATATAACCGTCGATTCCTCCCGTTGGTAATCTGCGCCCCTTTTGGCGTGGTCGGCTATGCGATTCTACTTTGTGATGTGCCTCCGGCAGCTCAATACTTTGCAACGTTTCTGATTGCTACAGCTTGCTTCTTGTGTACTGGGGGTAATATGTAAGTTTCATCGTGATCTGCGATCTTTATTGAAACGAAAGATACAAGGCAAGGCAGTGATTGTAAAGCACCTACTGATGCGATTTTATGATCAAGTGCTTGGCTCTCCGGCAACTGTGCTCCCGATGGGAAGCGCGCCGCAAGTCTCGGGATCTTACTGAGTCTTACAAACATCGGCGGAGTCGTCTCGGGTCAGATCTACCAATCTGGTGATGCACCAGCGTTTACGCTAGGACATGCGTGGTCCCTAGGTTGTCTAGCGTTCGCTTGGTTTGGATGGTGGATCGTAAGGTGGATCTATAAGACACGGCAAGAGGCCAAAGACATAGCCTTGGGCGAGGGTGTTGTGTTGCCGCCGGAGGAGCGAACGGATAGGGCATTAGACTTTAAGTATCAGATCTAGAATGACCTACCAGTCAGAGAGGAGTGAACTAGCACGTATACAGAAAGCCAGTGCAGGCTAGCCTAATGCTGAGTAACCTTTTATTGACTATTCGAAGGTGTAATATATTAATTAACCTTGACAATCTTGAAAGTTGGATATAGAAGAGACAAAGAGGAGGGATAAAAGGAATGAAGAACATAAAAGATTGGATAGTTAATAATTGTTGTGATAATTCCCATGACATAAAATTAAATATTATTAGGAGTTTGGCTTGTAATAAAGATTAATATCAAATAGAGAGATATATCATCCTTGTTATGTATAGAGAGGAATTTAATATTTCTAGACCTTCCTCCGTTAATAGCCTACTGTTTGCACGTTCGGTACAATTCTTCTTATTTACTAGAGGAAAAATTCTTAATTTCTTATCTTATGGAGTCCAGTAGGCCGACCACGTCTACTAAACCACTGTCCTCTTGATCCTTCACCTTGGGCCTAAGCTCCTTTATGATCTTGTCGGCTCTGGCAACAACAAAGCAAATAGCCATGAGCGTGGGATTGCCAGCCGCCCTGGTAGGAATGATACTGTAGCCCCTGGCTATGACGATGTCAATGCCCCAAATGTTTCCATTTTGATCACAGATAATATTTGCCTTGCTTGTCTCCGGGCAGGTAATACCGTTTATATGAAGAGCGTGCTCCTCGATGAGCCATATCGTGCACCGAGCCAGGAAGGTATCTGCAGGGCTTCGACACCATGTTGTACATGTCCTCGATAACGGCATGGGTGCGTCGCGTGACCTACGTATGCCACCGGAGATCAACAATCAGCTACTGGTTGACGTCCGCAGTGACCTAGACATACGAGAAGGCGTCCCGGCGAATCTACGTGTGTTAGGGTTAGGTTTTGGATACGGCGTGTAGACCTGTGGGTCCAAATTATCGAAGGGGACTGATCGGCTTGACGTCTTTGGAGTGGTGAAGACGATGCCTTTCAACCTTAGCCTGCCATCCAAGATGATATAGATCTTTAGAAAATTCGTCTGCTGAAATAGGTGTCAAGGGGGTAGCTGTTATGTACAGGTACAGGGTCACCGCAGCCGTCATGTATATGAGGAACAGGTCCTCCCACACTCTTTTCAGATAGCTCTTCACCTAATCAAGCAACCTCATAACCGTGTACTTCAACATCACCGACCAGGACACTAGACAAGATACCGTGATAGAAGGCCATCACCTGCTCGGTGAGGCATCGGCCCTATGAATATTATCAGTTAACTTAAGCGGTAAAAGCGTGCATAACTATACAGTACATAAATAAGTGTAAAATGTCAGATTCGCCAGCACTGGTAGTTCATCCGATTTTCTGTCCCATGCTGAGATAAGCATTATTACAGAACAGAGGTCAATATGGCACCTGCAGCAAGAACAACTTGTTCATGTTGAGGTCTTTACATACATACTAAGGCGGCCTCGGCAACATCATATTGTTAACTCTCGGCTAAGTTACGTATTTGTACCTTGTAAATCAAGATTAAAGTCATAAATAATATCATTATAAAATTTATTGGGAATTTATTTATAATAATTGTTTTAAACTTCCTTTTTTAATAAAATAAAGAAATATTAAAATATTATATTATAAATTTAAATAATTATTTTTATTTTTATTTGAAAAATTTTTAAATTAGTAAAATTTTTAAAAAAATTAATTTTTTTTTTAAAATATATAAAAACTAACTAACAGGTTTATTAAAAATAATAAAAAGGAAAACCAAAAAATCGACCAGCACGGGACTCGAACCCGCAATCTTCACCAATCTCCGCAACACCGGAAAGTGACGCGTTACCATTACGCTAACCGGCCATGGTCAAGTCGGCGACTAGCTAAATAGATAACGCACACATCCCGTGCAGCCAGTGACATTGTTTGTCGCGATTAGGTGAACTTCACAACTGGACCCAAGTGAGCAAACTGTCTTTGTTTGTCCTGTCGATTGAAAAATGTGTTTACTAGGTATGAAGTTGTCACGTAGGTGACTCTCCATAGATAGATCACGTGACCGGCTCTGCACAGCTCCCCTCTATAATGGGAGCTTTCCACCCACTCTCATGAGCTCGTGCAAGCTACCTATTCACTTTTTCTCGCATACCCCATCCGCCCCCACTTCTGGTGTGGTCTATCTTGGCTCTACAGAAGTATAGTATACTGTCATGGAATAATAACAAAATCAACTAGAAACAAGGAAAGAGAGAGAGTATTTATGTGAAGTGAATGTTGCATTATTTCTGTGTTGAATGCCACTAGTGACCATTTCTATACACAAGCACTAGCTGCAATGTCTTGCATTATATAAAGAAAACTTTTACAATTATAGAAACCAATTTCTAGCAATCAAGCTGTCATTGTAATTATACATCACATTTTCTGTGCTAGGTAAAAAACCTTTCATGTGTTGCTTTATCACTCAAACACTCAGAAATTGTCTAGATGGCAGATGGTTCTATACACACGTCGTTATATATGAAGAGAATCAGAGCGAGCACGGTCTTGAGCCAACAAGATGATGATCTAAGCCATGTTTGCATCGAAGCAACATAATAGACCTACGCACATTTTAGGATACCAGTATACAACAGGGGTGATCGCATTGGTTCTTGCGTAATGAGCTAGAACTACATGTACACGAGGGGGCACTCCGTCTAAAATAATTGGTCTACAGGAACTTAATGCGTCTAACTGTTGCTACTAATTCCCCTGGTGTCCATTCTTGGCACAGTCGTTATACTGCCTCATCTACAGCTTCAATCCCAACCTAAAAGATCCAAGATTCCCTACAATAATTGCATCTTGAAGTAGGAGGCGAAATATTCTTGCCGTGATATCCAATATCCCCAGGCCCGTATTTGGATTTGGGAATAAATCTCTGGGGGACTGCTCACTGTGATCATAGCCATCTACTCATCGTCCAGTACATGATGTGAGTTAGTGATGGTACAATATACCTACCTATCATTCAGCTGACTTAGTCATTGAGGAGTTGATAATATAATTTCCTTTATAGCGATCGCATTTCAAGTTTTCACCGAATTAACTATGCTAATAGATTTAGGCACTTAATATCGCCCTAGGTATAACATGTAGATTGAATAGGAAGCACATTTCATATATAGACAAATTTCGTATTTTAAGAGTTGCGAGGTTTTCCTGTGGTTTCTGTGAATGGCTGTAATTACAGATATGCAAGGGGTGGTCTGTCAGGGGTCTGAGAGGTCAGCCTCAAGGCTAAGGGGCTAAGAGAATAGTATCCACGGGAAATTGAGTTTAAAATAGTCGTTCACGCCCCGAAGGGACTGAATAGAGCTCTCTGGCGATTGTTCGCAGCCAAATAGTGACCCTATACTCCTTTGCTCTCAGTCTGTTATGTACCTCACCGCTCTAGTTTATGGTCGATACATCCTACATGGACGAGCTACCAGTGGAGTCTCTCTAACACCAAGTGGGTTTTATCTTATTTTATTTTATCATTGGCAGGTGTCATTAAATCATGAACTTCTTTGAAAGAGTTATATACGACTCTATTGAGCGAGAAACGAGATGACAGTCATCATCGGACGTTACGCTCAAATAATTGCTAAAATAGGTATCTTCTTTAATATTTAGATATATTCGTTATAGTGGAGTCATACATATCCGTAACTGGGGACCTAACGAGAATAGTTACGGGCTTCGTTGTTTTCACCGTTTCTCTATCCTAGAGCTCAAAACTAGATCGATGGGTATTTATATCCGAATCCAAATTTCACACGATAGTTTGTGCTTCCCTTTAGTATCTTAGTTGATGAACATACACCAACTAGATTTGTTCTCTTCTCAAATTTAGCTACTTGTATCCCGCCTCAATGTAAATTTTCTTTTCCCTTGTTTAGAAATGGACCGAAACAGAATGAAATTCCTTCTATTAAAGCTCCACGTACTAAAGCGATCAAACGCGCTCAATTTGCGGCTTGAGACGAGCACTGCCTGTTTTAATGGAGATAAAAGTTCATATTATAGTCATAATGGTCGCGCCTGGGGCTCGATACCCTCCTTAACACCAAGCGCTTGCAAACAATGTCCGGCTTGCAGATCCAGTCTGTGTTGTGTTACAGATGCGTCAAGGATGGTGTTGAGCTGTCGTGAGACTGTTCCTACTGTTCCTACTGTTCCTACCCACACCATCGATCACCCATCACCATTGTTGTTGACCTGCGAATCCGGTGAGGGCCCTGTGGGTGGTGCCACCTTTTCTCTTGCGTATGTTGGTTTATTTGGAGTTTGCCCCTGAAGATAGTCTAGGATTGTATGTAATACGGCACTGAAAAGCAAGCTTAGTGATATCAGCAGCGGCAAAGCCGCCAGCACCTCGGCCGCCTTCTGATGCCATGAGCTTCCGAAGCCAGCAGCATACAAGCAGACGTTCAGCCCGATGACCAGCACAACACCCGATGTCAAGTTCCTCTGGCGGCCATTTCCTCTTATTTTGTATAGCGATAAAGTCGTCGCGGCATAGTACTGGAGAGAGAGGACGTGTATTACAGTGCTCGGCGTTGGTGCGGGAACCTGCTGCGCCGATGGCTTTATCACGGTCAGCGATATATGAATGACTCTCTATTACTACCTGAAACGACGTACTATGAGCCAGTCAGACTTGACCGTGCTATGCAGCGACTGCAAAATGGTTGACTGGGGAAGTCCAGAGAAAGCGCCGAGGTGCGGCCCAAGGACGGCAGCGGTTGATAACGACACGAGCGCACACATCGGTGCCACTAGTTGAGAGGTCTCGATTCTGTGGAAGAGGCAGTTGCAGCAGTACCATCCTGACCATGGAGAAGCATGAGGAGTCGGCTCGGTAGGTTGCTGTTTCATGGTTCGTAGCACGCTGTCGCAGAGAACTAATAAAATTGTCGCCGACTACAATTTCGGGTTCGGGATATAAATGGTTGTGGAATCTACTGAGTTGATAAAATGGTGTATGTAATACGAGTTGTAGACCCTTCATTGAAATACGGCTGGGGAAGTTATCAGAAAAAAAGGCGACTACTGCATACAGCCTGGCGGCAAAGAGGCGTTATCGGAAACACGTGAGAATCCTGAAGAAGGAGGACAGGAGCGGGGTTAAGCCCTCAGCCATGCTGATATAATACTTGACTTGCTCGTGTTGTGCTGCCATTGGCAGCCTTGTTGCTGGCTGCTCCCGCCCCCCTGCTGCGGAACTTGCGACTTGCACGGAAACGTCCCTGCCTCCTTCCTTGGGACTGACAACCCCTCCACACCTACAAGTCGCTTTATAAACTCAGCCGAGAGAGACCGGCTTGTTTCTGTCCCCTTCCCACAAACATTTTGCTTCGCCCAATACACACCCGACCTTAGCCTCCCTGCCCCTCGAACAAACTCGCTGTGGGATCCTCACAACGGCACATCTCTCGTTCTACAGGTTACAAATAGAATGGGTTGTGACGGCCTTGAAGCAAGAGACACAGGGGGTAAATGGATTGGATCTATCGCACAATCACATCCACATTATCCCAAACCACGACTTCACTGGGACTCGAGATCTGAAGCAACCGACAATCCACCTCTCCTCCTCCGATGTTCCCCACCGCAGGGAAATATAGACCACCATGCTTCGTCGCCACGAAACTACCTGTCAGACCGCCCACCACGTTCGCGAGGGCCTCCCGAGTCCGATTCGGATGGGAAGATTCATGATCTGGGTTGTAGTATCCAACTCATAAAGCAACCAGAAACTCGCCCCATCAGTCAGGAACAGCTCGTCGCGGAAGTCAAAGGTATATATGCCGGTCTTGTCATGGTAGAGTCGAAGTGTATTGAAGTCGATAATGCTCAAGCCTCGCAGTGTGATGCGAAGTTAAATAACGAACAATGGCAAGCACTCATTGCCCTACATCGTACCCTTCTCCACGAACACCATGACTTCTTTCTAGCTTCACAGCATCCGTCAGCTAGCATTGCGCTGCGCCGCCTCGCTTCAAAATATGCCATGCCCTCTCGGATGTGGCGCCATGGAATCCATACCTTCCTGGAACTTCTTAGGCATAGATTGCCAGGCTCCCTGGAGCATATGCTCACCTTCATATATTTGGCCTATTCGATGATGGCTTTGTTATACGAGACCGTCCCGTCATTTGAAGATACATGGATCGAATGTCTTGCGGACCTTGTGAGATATCGGTTTGTAGCTGGGCCTTATTGTTTCGTTCAAAGCTGACGACGACCAGAATGGCTATCGAGGATGACGATATACAAGATCGAGAAATACCGACATGCATCTCCTACCATTGGTACCCAAAAGCAAGCGATACGACTCCGACAACAGGACGCTTATACCATCATCTAACTATGCTAGCACGGCCCGATGCTCTTCAGCAACTGTTCTGCTACACGAGGTCACTTCTTGCCCCTCTGCCCTTTGACAGCGTTAGAGAATGTGTCATGACACGTTACAACCAAACGATGGAAACATTGGAGAGGTTCACTAATGAGAGCTATAAAAATTTTGGGAGACTCGAGACCCAGGTTCCAGGGCTCTGTTCCCGTGCATTGGCCTTCCATCCATCGACATCAGTGTTGATGATTCTCTCCTCAGCTCTTCCCACAGCTTTAGCTTCTCCCATCCAAGACACCTCTTATCCTCGAGACGAGGACTCGAACAGTCCACTAGCTTTCAACATAATATGGTATACATGTCTGCTAGGTGCTGTATCTGGTTACGTTGTCCTATCAGTTTACCATCGTGACGCATGGAGCTTCCTGGGACTTGGCATGTGGGTATCCACGTGGTCATATCTCATTATGGTTTCGGT